GGGTCCCCGGCCAGGGCCCTGACCCCGGGGCGCCGCGCCCGGGCGGAGGCGTGAGTGGGAAGTTGTGGCCATGGGCAGAAGTGACCGTGCACTTCAGAACCCCGCCAGACTTAGCCGCCACCCCCGGATCTTCGAAAGACTTTTTGTCCTCTAAAGTCGGAGAGAATCCTGTCCTCTCAGACTTTGCCAGACACTTAAAGTTGTGGCCTGGAGAGGCTGCGGGAATGAAAACTTTTCAAGCCGTGCTGTAGATCCCCACCCTGCCTGCAAAGTTCAGAGAGCGAATTTCCAAGTCGCTGTCTTATCAGTGGAAACGTGTTAAAGAAAAATAGACTCTCTATGGAAAAGCCGACTCGTCTCTCACCGGATGGTAGGGGGCTGAAGAAGAGAAGAAAAGTTCTGTGACTGGCTTGTGGCAAGAATGTTTCGTGTCTGCCTTTGGGGGGGGCGGGATCGCTTTCGTCTTGCATGGCTTTCATTTCTTATCATAATATTTATTTATTAAGTCCTCGGGTTTCCAATTCCATTTAAATCCAGGTCAGAATTGCATTAAAATAACAAAGTAAAATTCCAGCCTGGAGAGCTCTGACAGAGCCCTCTAGGAATTAGAGAAGCTGGGAGGCCTTCCGCCCCAGTCCCTGACCCCATACTCGGCTCCTGGCTGGTCCCAAGGCTGTACTAGCAGGGACCGGGCTGGTGCCCCACAGTTCTCTGGGGACAGACTCCCCTCCCCCTTGACCTCCTGCAGCACCCCTCCCCCAATGGTGTCCCAGCTGAAAAGAGATTTATATGGGCGAAAAGAGAATTCCTCCGGGGCAAGGTTTTGCTTGTAACGTTGTGATTCTGCCTATTGTCCCCGGGGTTCCTGAAGCCAAGCCAGGGTGAGGAGGTGGTAGGGCCTGAGGGAAAGTTGAACTTGGGAGTTGGGAAATGCTGAGTGTCTGGTAGTAGGGTCGCTGTGTCCTGGGGCCTTGAGCACTTGGCCTGTGCTAGATGGTTCCACACCACACTCCTCCCAAAACACCACCTCTTCAGCGCCCCTCCCCCCTCCAACCTGTCCTCCCACGCAGCCAAACACCAGAGACCCTCAGCTGTCAAAGACCAGCCCCCACCTCCACCCTACCCCAGTGCCTCTTCAGTCCCGTCCCAGACAGCCCATGGCTACCCCCACCCCACCCCTGGCCTGGAGCAGCCCCTCTCCTCACTGTGGACTTGCTTGTGTTTTCATAAACAAAGCTGGCTTTTGTAGTGTGTGCTGACTTACTCAGAACATGGAATTAGCTGGGGAGTTTAGTCTGAAGGAACAGATTTCATGCGGTAATCTAAAGACTAGATAAGGGCCTCTTTGAAGTTGGAGCCAGTGTCTGAAGTGGTCTAGGGAGGCGGGGGGAGGGTACTGGGGCTGAAGGAGAAGCAGATGGAGACCCCTAAGTGGCACAGGTGCCACTGAGCCGAGGCTCCCAAGCCTGGGAGACCGCCCCATCTTCCAGGGACTCAGAATCCCTCTGGGGTACTCTAGGGCTCCTGCTTTCGTGGGATACCCCACTGGATCCTGGGAGAAATGCAGCTGGAGGGGAGACCCCTGCCCTGGAGGAATTTACAGACTAATAGTTTGTTCACTCATGGGCCACACCTGCTCTGACGGCTGCAATTAGCTTGGCATCTTCCTTCCCTCCCTTCCTCCCACCCTCCCTCTCCTTATTTTCTCCTCTCCTTCCTTCTTTCTTTCCCTCCCTCCCTCCCTCCTTTCCTTCTTTCCTTCCTTCCTTCCTTCCTGTTCATGAGTCTAGCTTGGCACTGAATGAAAGCCTCTCACTGACCCTGCTATTCAGGAAATCTATAAACCCTGCCCAGGCCTTGCCCAACAACAGGTTTGTGAATGAGAAAGTTGTCTCTGGACCCAGATTTGCAGATCTGCTGCAAGGAGGACAAGCACTTTGGTCAGGGAAGTCTTACGGTCCCACCCATAGACAGGGTGCTGTGGGCTTGGGGGGGACTAGACGTATTGCCCCACCCCACTATGATCAGTGCCAGAAAGTTTGTCTTTAACACCACATGCTTTTAAACGAAGCTCGAGCAGGTCTTTAGAACATAGATACTCTTGGCAGTCATCTTGCATGGAGTTACTGTACCCCTGGGGACATCTGTGTCTCTGTCCCTTTTCATCAGAGATCCATGCGGAATGGGGCAGGGGGTGGGGCCAGGAGAGGAGCCCTGAGTGTAAAGTAGAGTGTGTATGGGGTAGTGTGTGTGTGTGTGTGTGAGGCTCACCACAATCACCCACATGGGACAGAGCTGGGTAGTTGTGGGACTTAGGAGCCACTGCTGTTGTTTCGCCTGTGAGAACTGAGGGGCGGGTCAGCAGTGCCCTGGGAGGGAGGCAGCGTGAGGGTACACGGTGCTGAGTGTTTTTCAAGTGCCTGTCTGTGTATCGTAAGGTAGACAGACTGGATGACCGAGATAATTGTTAACTTAAAAGCATTAATATGCTTTGCTTCTCCCTGGGGTTGGGGGTGCAGTGGTTAGAAAGACCTAATCCTTGCATGGGGCTCAGGTTACAGCTGAACGGAAAGGTCTCACTCGGGCCTCCAGGGAAACTTGTCCGGGGTGGGCTCTTGGGAGAGTTGGGCCCTTTGGTTTACCTGGTAGTTTTCGCTCTTTGCTGGGGACACAGTTTTGATAAAGTCAGGTATTTAGAGTTTCTGAGTGACGCCATCCCGGGGACTGAGCGTTCATCTGGCAGGGAACAGTGTCTTTCTGTCTCGGTGCGTCTCTCCGGGTCTCTGTCTGGGTGTATGTGTCTCCCTTTCTTTCCCCCACCCCTCTCTTCCTCTTTAATGTGGCTGTTTCCTCTCCTCCCTGCTTCCCTCAGCTCCTGTGGCCAGCTCGTACAGTGAGGGGACTGTTCCTCCTAGCCCCTCCCTCCAAAATATGAAATGAAAACCATAACCGTGTCAGCCGGTGAGGTGGCTCTGCGGGCAGCCGGCTACTGCCTGTGCCCCCTCCGGGCCATGCTGCGGGGAGAGAGAGAGGGAGAGAGCGAGAGGCGCTGACCCTACCCTTGGAGCGATCTTTAACCAGTTCCCCCTAAGCCGTTTTTTCCAGAAGCGGGTGGGCTGCTTAGAAATTCCTCAGGAATCCCTTTGACCTCTCTTTTCTCAGTGACCTGTCTGGGGGGTGGGAGAGGACAGGCATAGAAATGTTTCCCGTCCTCCAGTCCTCCGGCCCTGCCTCTCATCACCTGGAGTCTCCGCAGGGTGGAATGAGAGGGACACTGAGGCCAGACACACTTCAGGTAGAGGAAGAAGAAAGACATCAGCCATCCCCAGATGGGATTGTGTGCTGGAACCTCCTGCAATCTGAGCGCACGAGAACCAGTTTGAGATGTGAGCGGCTGGCACCTGTCGTAAAAGGAGCCAGTTGGGTGTGAGTTTGGGAATGTGAGGTGTGCATTCACTGGTGTGTGTGAGCATGCGTGTGCATGACTCGGTTTGCGTGTGTGTGTGTGTGTGCGCGTGCACACGCGTGATGAGAGGAAAAAGGAAGCGGGGCACTGTGCGTTTGTTTTAGTTGGAGAGGTAAAGAAGTGGAATGACTTGGTTCAGTGCCTTGCACTGGCGATGGAGGAAGAGGACGGACAGATGGCTTCCGAGTGTTGAGAGCAGGGAGAGGTGCTTGTTGCCCAAGCCACCCTCCTCCCTGCCCCCAGCCCGGTCCCTGCACGTCCAGCTGTGGGCCTCCTCTGATATCCCGTACCCCTGGCATATGACCACATGTAAGAAAGAGTCCCTGTCGAGGCTGGAAGCTGTGGTGCTAATCTGAGGCTGGCAGTGCCCGCAAGAGGCCCCTACGTGGGGACAGCTTCTTTAGGGAGAATGGGTGACAACAACCAATCCAGGGGCCCCTGGAGGGTGGCCACGCTGCTCACCTGGGCCGCACAGACTGCCCTGTCTGCAGACTACTCTCCTGCCGGGCCCACACTGCCAGCTTCAGGCATCACCAGGTTGTGTGCCAATGGGTTTTGCCAATGGGGAGCCCAAGGCTGGGGGCCTTGGAGGAGGTCACTGAAATCCTCTTCCTCACTTGTAAAATCGGCAGCCCCCTCCCAGCTCTGAAACTGAGATCCTTCCCGCT